ATATACTATAGCGCAAGTACGTGTATACTGTGTAAAGAAGGACTAGTCTCCAAAGGTCAGTGGAGAAGCTCATCAGAGAAGCTCCAAGTCACAAAGGAAGAAGATCCTTCGCAATGATGCACCTGAAGTGCTATGATGGGAGTGCAAGGATGCACCTGGAGGTCGCAGTTGATCACATCTTTGTGTTGGCAGTTTGTAGCTTTTTGGTGGTTTGGGCTGTGTGTGTTGCCCCCCAACCCCCATCAAGCTTTTTCAAGCCAAGCCAAGTCAACCAAAATCAAAACACTTCCTCCAACCCAAATCAGCCAAGCTCAAGCAGTCTAGGGTAGGGGGGCCCCACCCCCTTGCCACCACAGAGAACCTTTTTCTGCACCTTCCAAGGTGAAGCACTCTCGTGTCGGACGTCCACACTGGGAACGGGAACCATCCGAAAAATCCCCTATCGGGCCGAGAAGGAAAGAAGCGGACGCAAAACCATGCAAAACCCAAGAATCAATTCCACTAACAGGAGAAATCAATCCAAAAGAACAACACTGCAGACATGTTGCTTCTCCACCAAACATCAAAATGACTGACGGCGACTGTGACTCTTATCTAGGAACTTGCCTCTGGGTGTAGCTGGCATCAATGACTCAGCCCCTCCTCCCCCAAGCTTTAGCGAGGTAACCTCAAAGTGCCAAATGTTTAAGGCGTTGGTGGCTTTGCATTTTCTTGACCCTGGTCACCCATGGTCATCTTTTTTACACGTGCAACAACGGTCCAAGTTGAGACCAAGTTTCATCGAATCGAAGGAGCGGGTCCTTCTTGTTAAAATTTGGCCTTCCAGGTGCAGACAAAGTATTAATCCCTAGGGCTCCAACTGCCTCCGTTTCGAAGCTGGTTGGGGTGGGTGCCTGGGGGTCTAACCACCGAACCTGAGGATATGGGACAGGAGCCCTAGGGAATATTCCAAGTTCCCTCCACAAAGATCGCGCCTCCCTACATGGATGGCCTCGATGGCTAAGAAACCGCACCCGCAGCGCAGCACAGTTTCCTTTTCAGGCAGAACCGTTCAAACCATCGGGCCTCGATGCGCCTGCACTTCAAGCACCTAAGGCCTCCGGACGTGTCGAAGAGAAAATGTTTTTGTGATAGAATACACCAAGAAAACCACCTCAAGCCACGATGTCACAATGTGGTCCATTGAAAAGTAAGCATTGTTGTCGACCTTCATGTGTTTTCTGCTCGCCACCTCAACAACTCGTTGTGGGTCTTGGACCGGTTCACTGTGGTTTTTCGTGGAGAAGTCGTTGTCGACGGGGAACCTGGGCGTCCATGCACCGGTGCAACACGCAACATGGATATGCATTTCAGACATGAATGTGAGATGTATGACCACGAGACTGACCAAGATGTACTGAAAGATCTGAAAAAAATCGGAGGGAACGCGCGGAAATATGTGTGTACCAAATAGTTTCCCAACAAACAACTTGTGAAAAAAAAGTCCCTTCCTTCATGTTCTGCTTCCCATCAAATCAACCTTTCATCGGCCTAAAACCAACAAGAAAGGATGAACAAAATGCGTGTCCTGACTGCTTTCTGGTGGACTTGCTTCCCGCCAGGCAGTCACTTCAGGAGCCTATGAGCTCTTTAAGCCTGGGCAGGTGGGGAAGAACTGGGGGGGGAACAGACCTAACAGAGTGAGCAATCAGAGATTTGTTAAATGCGTTGTTGTTTGTTTTCTTAATCAGGGCTGTGGGCCTGATCAACGAAAGAAAAAGGGTGCTTCGAACCAGGGACGTTTCAGCGGTTGGAACGAGGGCGTTTGTTTTCAGGTACCATGTGGATGGACACAGGGTTGGAACGTGTAGTGTCAGGTTTCTTTCGCCAGAATGTTGTTTATATGAATCAGCATCATGACTTATAAGACTCTTATTTTCCATGCCCTGGAGATACCACTTGAGAGACTGTCCCCAGGCCTACAGTGAATCCGATGAAACACTGCAGGGGCAAAGGCCAAGGTATGGCAAGATGCAACCATCATTGATTGAGAAACCACTCCTGCCCAGGAAAAACCTTGGGAAGTAACCAGGTCAACCAGGTATAACTCCTACCCAGGTATAACCTTCAAATTCAAGACCTTTTTGGGGGATTGCTCACACCCCACAAAACCAGAAGAGGTGAAAAAGGGTTCGAGGGAACACTGACAAATCCAGAGATGTGTTGCACTCATGCACAACCCTCAACCGATCTGACCAATGTATATCAACCGTTCGAGATCGTTCGAGCTTCAAGGAGTTTGTGAGTGGACATGTCGAAGTTGTGAGGGTAGTCCAGCCAGTCTGCGGCGAAATCGACATTTGGTTGGGTCTCCACCCACCAGCAGATGGTTGGCTATACGCGTTGCAAACCGTTGGAGGTTTGCACCTCTAGACCCTGAGTAGTTCACAATTGGACAGGACAAGCGCCTGAAGCGTCGCGGAAATATACACTTCTTGAATATCATGGAAGCGGGTGGCAGCACATCCCCTTGCATGAACCATGAAATCTGAAGACCAAACAGGTGGTGAACTTCTTCACTTCCGCATGAGTGAGTGACTCGGAAGTGGCTGGTGCCTCGCACGGGTCACCAGAAGTCACCTGAAGTATTGAAAGCCCTTGTTACCTTGTTACTAGATCTTACTAGTAGCTTCTTAGCTGTTCTGGCCCAACCTTGCAGTTGGTACAGCTTAGGCGGCGTAGGGCCTTCATCGTTCCCCCATAATAACAATTAATACTATACATAGTAGATTATTGTTCCAGCCATGGCCTCCAACCTAATAGCGATTGCCTCCACTGTGCGTAGCTTCTTGCAAGAATAGGGAGACCTCCAACCAATGAGAATCCCATTGTCTACTTTCCTTCTTCCAGCGGGTCTTGACGGGCCTCTCTTCTTTGTGGATGCACACACCCAACATTATATGTAGGAATCACCAAAGTCATCCAAAGTTACATACGTACATATCGCCCCCCCAAAAAACAGGCACATCACCTCAAAGAAGAGGGGTTTCAAGTCCCGTTTCTTCAAGAACTGCGACCCTCCGCAGCTTCGACCCACCGCGTTTTTTCGCACCGCATTGAGCGACCGAGGCGCCCTTTTCGCTCTTTGCGGAGCGCCGCGCGGACGCCGAGATGAGCCGGTTGCGTCGTGTGGTCCTGATCGGCCGGTTAAAGCGTAGACCTGCGTGCGAAGCGAGCAGGTGGATTTGGAGTTTTCAGGTGGATTTCTCAGTGTTTATGTTTTTTGGGAAACAAACGTGTAGTGTTCTTCGGATTCTGTTGTAAATAGGAGTCTGGTCTACGGGATTTAGGCGTCTTGTCTATGGGATTCTGTTGTAGAGGTCTTGGGATGTCTTGGCATGCTTTAGATCGGTTTATGTTTGAGGATCATTTGGGGTGTGGATCTTTAGGTCGTTGAGGTGATCCATGTTGAAGTGAAGATGTCATGTAACGAACGAACCGCTTCCATCAACGTAACAATACCATCAACACAACGAAACTCCGCTTGGTTTTAATATATATGTGTACCCTAGGGCTCCTCCTGGCCCACTGCTTCCTGAGAAGCTGGGACTGGGGTGGGTGCCAGCGGGGTCGAATGCCACCGAACCTGAGGAGATGGGCCAGGAGCCCTAGGGGTAGTTCAAATTTCAATGGGGAGACTGACTGGTTCATTTCCCGTCTTCCAGGGGGGTCGAACTGGGAGGTCTCCCTATTTGAGCTACACACCCATACCATCAGCAGCAGGTAGAGTTTTGTGTGTGGGTGCCAAAGTCTGCCTTCCCAACCACTGAGACTATTGTTGCTTTTTGTGTTCATGATATTTCGTAGCTCCTTGCTCAAGACTGCTGGCTGACCATTCCATGTACCAAGTTGTCATTTCAATAGGGCTTTGCCCCAAAAAAAGAGATGTGCGCCGAGGGTTCCACAAATTGGACTTCCAAAGTTCCAGGAGATGCATCGCTACTAGGAACAAGTGCATCGCTACTGTCGCTACTAGTAGCAAGAAGCTACTACTAGCGATGCCTTTATTGGTACAGGACCCTTCCGGAGGTTTGCACCTTTTTGCAGCGTCTAGGGGGTATGTCACTCCAGGAGGCGTGACCCGCCTGTTCCATGACCTGAGAGCCCACCTGCCACTTGTTTGGCCAACACCTGCGGTGTCCGGTCTTGCCAGTCTGTGTTTTTGCTGTGGGATCTCCGAACCCAAATGGGTGGGGATCTCGATTCCATCAACAGGGCCAGGGGTGTCTGTGTGACAAAAGCTCCTTAGAGGTGATTCGGGGTGTCCATGAACCATCAACAGGGCCAGGGGGCTTTGGTATGAATCCATGTAAGCGAGAGTCAAAGGACAAGTCTTCCACCAGAACTTCTTTCACCAGGCCCATATCATGTGTAGACCAGATTGGTAGACCGGTGGCAGTCCATCTAAACACCTTTCCCATGGAAGATCCCAAACAAGAAACATTATGACATAGTGCCAATCAATCCCCTTCTTGGCCCCTTTTTGAAACCATGTCATTCCCTTTTTGGGACCTTCTGGAGTACTGGGACCGTGTGGCCGTCGGCTCAAGCTGTGCAGACCCATTCCATGAAGTCAGAGTTCTGTTCAAAAAGGGCAGCTCAATCGGAAGACCCATGTATATGTACCAGGCTTCATGTTTTTTGTGTCAGTGTGTGGCCAAACAGTTTCTTTGAACCAAACCCAGACACACCATGTACGGAACTCCCGAAACCACCACCTGATCGGCCCAGTCTGGGCAGGAAACCATAGAAACACCACCATAGGGAAAGGAAGACCGTACGAAGACTGGCGGTCGTGTGGTGCCTGACCCCGTCCGATGTGCTTGTTCATCCCCACTGGACCACTTTGCAAGCTGAACACATGACGAAACCCCAACATTCAATAAGTCAGAGGATAGATATATACAGACAACACAGTGCTTTGTCAAACATAAGAATTGCAAGCTGACCTGCAATAGATTCTGGGATGCCAGTAAAGCTGTACGCGACGATCACTGTGTTGATCGAAGATGGTGGACGTTGCTAATTCTCCTGCTGACCGGAAGATGCACGTGTGCCAGGAGAAAGTTATTCAAGGCTGCTTTTGAACAAGATCCGGTTTTGGGCTCGTTTCATTCCATTTGTTTTATACTTCTGTGAGGCTGTTTTATACATATGATTCATATGATGCTTGACTACGGTGGAAAAGCCTCGTTCTTTGTAATCTCCTACTGGTTTTCCACCAAGACAAAGGGTAACTGTGGGGATTCCATAGCAGGAAAGTTGGTTATGTGATCCTTGCAAGTGGTCACCGGTCACCAAATGGTCGCAATATTCCTACCCAGGCGCTCCATTTATATACATGGCAGTATGCATGGCACATGTGTAAAATTTAGCTACCTTGTATGGGCACATACCATGGATGGAGTGTTTGGCTGTGGTCACACGTACGATGCTCCAGGTAGATGACTGGGAATTGGTGGGCATTTGGATCTTTCATTAGCGAGATGTTTGACATGTTGCGTTGTGTTGCCAACTGATGGGGATACTTTGTCAACATCAATGAATCTTGGGAGCATGAATCAAGAGCCATGTCAATTCAATTTGTGGTCCTTTGGTTTTTTGTTTTTGAATTCAACGGTAGTAATACAAATATATACCGGCTTGTCCATTTTGCAAATCCTGAGAGAATGTTTCGTTCATTGGGATTCCTACCTGCCAACAGCTAATCGGTTTGCCATGTGGGTGTGTATTTTAAGAGGGAGACCTCCCTGGCCCAATGGATAGTCTATTTTCCGAAGCTTCCAGGAGGTCTCCCATGTCTTGAGCTACACAAATTGATGTCAACATGCTGGTTGAAACATCGCAGTATGCGCCACTTTTGCCCCGTGCGGGAATGGGACTTTCACGAGGAGGATCCCATCATCATGGTGCAGAAGAGCTTCAAGCGCTACATCGAGGCCTTGGCGGGTTGAAATGGGTTGAACACCACCCATAATATCTATATAATACTGACATTTGATGACTGTAGACTCTGTAGACTCGTGATGATATGTATTTCAACCCATGAATTCAGGCCCTTACAATCCCAAATGCCTATTCTGCGGGAGTCTTCTACCTCCCCGCCGTCACGGCTGGGGCAAGAAGTACCCTGCAGCTACGGAGGCGGCGCTGATGCACCTCACTGACCTGCAAAGGCCGTGGGTTGTGGGTGCTTCACCACTGCGGTTTTGGGAGGCTTGGGGGACTAAGACCAAGGAAAAGGAGGCTTCTTGATGGTTCGGCATTGATCTACATTGGGGTGATGGTTCATTTGTTTGGGGTCCATGTAATGTCACTATCCACAATTTCCATGGAGTTAGGTGCCGTTCACAACTTTTCAGAAGGAGTTGGGTGCCCCCCCCAAGATCCTCGCATCGAGTGTCGCTTCGGAGACACCAAACCAGTGTGACTCCTGGCGTGTTGGGTTGGTCGACCAACATACTGACATACTCCATACCAATTGCTTATACCAAATGACTCATACCAACTTACACCAACGTAGTCGTTTCAACTTACTGTCCTCCACAGCATTCTGCTACTCTGCGGCTTTGCGTTGGCGACCCGGGTCGCCGCGGCTCCTCCGCTGCTTTCTGCGTTTCAGGGTGGTGGCTCCTCCTCAGCCCACCCCAACTCAACTCACAACATGTTAACCCAGCTTCGACCAACTCCGCTCACACCTGTCAGCAACCCCCAACTCAACTCACACCTGTCCGCGATTTCTCACACTTGTTTGCAAACTCAACTTACCGAACTCCACTGGCCCAACGCGCCAATGAACTCGTGTTTTAAAGTAGAATAGGCATGTTCCTGGCTTGCAGCTTTGCTTGAAAGCTCCTTTATACAGTGAATTTGAGGATTAAGATGGGGACATATGGGGACCAAGGGACTGCTCGCAAGAAAACTCAAGATTGGGGAAACAACTCTTTTGGCTATCCGTCGACGTGCATGAATCTTAACTTATATCGTATTTCTTGAGCGGGTATGGAAGCAGGTGGAGCGCCATTCTGGGCTGGAAGAACATTGCAACCACAACATTTAGGAGGTGTTTTTGTTGTTTCCAGGTAGTCTGGGAAAGCTGCCCGTGAACCCGACCATAACGCATGCAAAGAGATGCGATGCACCGCGTGCATTTATGGTCAGACAAACAGAAATAGATAAATCCATCCTGAATTCTGCAATGTGCGACAGTGTCGGATTTTGATGGATTTGGTTCATATCGATTGGATCTTTGTTTACCTGAGTATGCATGGGATCCGCCAATCGTAGAGTTTTGTCAAGCACGAAGCACGCCTGTTTATTTTTGTTTACTTTGCATCAGATACATTCGATCAAATCCGGTTGACATGACATTATAATATCAAGACAGATTGTAATGCCTGGTTGTCGGCAGTTTGAAGTCTAAAGAAGCTTGACACATTTTGACATTTTGACATCAAACCAACTGAAAAAAGAAAGATCGTCCCTGGACCCGACTTTAAAGTACTCTAGAAAATGAGACATGACCCTATAAGAACCGGTACTATAAACATACAAAATGTCCAACGTATGAATGGTATGGCATACCACGATCTCCTCTTGCGACCACCGAAGGCGTTGGGGCGAAGGCGGACCTGTGGCCGGCCGTTCAGAGGCGGACCTGTGGCCGGCCATTTCTCCCATGGGCGCTGTTGGAATTGCCGATGTGTACTCCTATGACCTGTAACAGTCGGTAGACAATTATTTGTTTTAGAGAAAGACCTTTACTAACCATCACCATCATCATCATCACGATCATCATCATCACCATCATCATCATCACCATCATCATCATCATCATCATCATGCGGGTATGAGACACAAACGATCTGACACCTTGGGATGGCTTGGTACTGGTATCCGTGGTTGGTACCTGCTGTTCATGGCATCCCAAAGCTTGTCAATTGACATCATGTCTTATTTGGAAATAATCCTGTCCACATATTAAAAGACCGGCCGCATACTTTTTAATAGGGGGTCCCTGAAATCGGGGGGGAGTCCAAAATAGGGTCACCTGGGAAGAGCTTCAAAACCAAAAAGCAACCATATGGTTTGTTTTAATAGAATCCTTTATTAAAACTCGTATCAAAGGTTCAAAAAACCTCCAGATCGAAGGGTCTTCCTGTTCCCCTACAAAAACCTTTATTAGAATAATGATTCTTCATTAGACTAACATCTATATATCTCTGTGCCATGTCCTCGGTGGCAAGTGCGTTTGTGTGAGTCCGTGCCATTGGGGGAATGAAAACATGCTGGTGTAAACGCGGCATGTCATGGTGGATAGACAGGGCGGACAGAGGTGGGCAGTCACGGTTGTTTTTTTGGAACCTAATGAAACAATTCCTCCAAAATCGGCAATGTTTGTAGTTTTTAGAAAGGGCGGCAATTTAAAAACAAAAAGCTGTACTTAGGGGGATCCGACATGACTTGTTCTTAATTGGGTCCGTTTTTTTAATAGGTACCCGGGATTAGACACATATTTATAGCAGACTTGCCCTCCAGCTAGGAACTTCAAAAATCCTTGCAGGGCTTCAGGCAAACCGACACTTGTTCCAGATGAGCTAAGAATTACATTTCCAGAGTTCGTTGCAAATATTCGACAGATGCAGCATTGAACTTTCGTGCCAGTTCGCTTCTGGATTAGGCTCCTGTAGGCTTTTGCCGACTAGCTGTCTGTGGGAGGAGTTGAAAGTTTTGCACGACTAAGCCGTGAGACATGAGATCAACCTCGTAGATCCGCAGTGGATGTCCATCACTTCAATGAGCGGATTGCAGGATTTGAACCACTGGGTTGTTTTGGTGTTTGCAACTTTGGACGCCAGAAGATCTTTTGCAGGTAGAAGAGCTCACGAGCCTTTGCAAAGAGTGCGGTTTGGCCTCAGCCAAGGCGGGTTTGGTATGTACAAGGTGTGGCGTTCGGTGTAATATGATGTCACCTCGTGTGGGAAATTGCGATCTACAAGTCTGACCCGGCATGAAGGAACCATCAGAATATGTTTGCAGGAACTCCTCTTTCATCTTGGCACCTTTATGTTTCACAGTTTTACCTTGTGGCCTTTGCAAAAATTAGCAAGCAGCACACAATATCAATAGAAAACAGTCCAAAAGATAGCAACAAAAACATCCAGCTGTTCAAGTTCCGACTTTCTGCATAATTAGCACAGTGTATACACGTGCAATACTTTTGAAGCAATGGCCCAAGCGGAGGACTCGATTTTGGGAGCCGATCTTCATATACCCACACACTCCATGGGACTATATATGGCATATTTGCATAAATTCAGGGGCCAATGTAGGAACATGTTCCAGTCCCATGGAGTGTTTGGGATACACACATAGAACCACACCTTGAAGGACATCGTCACTGTCACCTTGATCTGTGCAGGCGGTGGTTGCCTGCGAGCGGGTTCTGAAGAGCCGCTATCGGGGTCAGGCAGGGTACCCAGCAGGGCCAGCAGGATCTAAGACCAAGGCGCTCCTGGACCCTCATATGGAGGGGTCGGGACCCTCAAAACCCTATGGTTTTGAGGGACCTAAGGGCTGTTTGGAGCGGCGTCTGGGTAGTATAAATCCATGTACTGGGCATCGATCCCCGTTGGCACTTTTGGGGGAAACCGACGGTTTTGAACAGCTCGCTTGAGCTGGCGCTCGCTTGAGCTGGCGCTCGCTTCGCGGGCGGACGATAACAACATAGTCGCTCCTGCCAGCCGGCCGACCTGGTCTCGCAGGTCCAGCAGGGGCTCCTGCAGGTGTTCAGGCTCAATGTGAGCAAGAACTCACTCTCTTGTAGCCGTAAACATAGGTTGCTCTCTATCCAAAAACCAACTCCTTTGGACCATCATCCCCATCCAAAAGCCCATCGCCATCGCCATCCAAAAGCTAAGCCCATCCTTCCCAGGCCGTGCCGGTGGCCCATCGGCCCAAAGAAGTGGCACAAAGAGAACGACGCGGTCGCGAAGCGGAGCCACTTGGCTGAGCCATCCGGTGTGCATGGAGGGACAGCCATAGGTCATCAGAGGTCCTCATAGGTCCTCATGGTTTTGGTGCTAGAACATATCGGCGTCCCTGCGTCCCCACCTCAGAATGTTTGATTGGCTTCGCATGAAACAACGACATCGGCAAAAAGGCACGAGTCATTCCGCGGCGATGAAGCTCCATCTACTCTGAAACCACTGTAATGATGTCATTAGATGTCATTAGATGTCATTAGTACATGGACATCACAAGTACTTTGACACCTCTGCGTCTTTGGTCATGTTTTTTGTTTTTTTCTCTCTCCCGCCGCACACGTGATGCGCACACCCGTGTCTTATGCTATGCTGCTATGCCCGTGGAATCCACGTTCATCGTCAGGGATTCCAAAGCTGCAGATCTGGAAGAGGAAGAAGGAAGAGAAGAGCTACACCATCACAGCGCCGGTAGCAGGGATGGAGGGAGAGAAGGACCACTTGCTACAAGTCTTGCTGTGGTCCTGGACGATTCCCATCTTGAAGTCCTAGACATCGCATGACATCCGCATCCCAGGTCCAGCGAAAGAGGCTGTTTCCGGGTGAACATGATCTTGCAAGAGAAGTCCCAGACATCGCATTTGAGGCATCCCAGGTCCAGCCATCGTTTGTTTTGCCAGTGCTTGAGTGTCTTGACCGCTCACCTCCTCTGATCGAGTCGATCCAGCATCGTCGAGCATCGGCGCTGCCAGCGGTGAAAAGAGAGAGCTTCAAGTCGTCATGGCAGACCCAAGTCAAGAAGAATGAGAATAATCAAATGCAATTCAAGTGCAAAACTATGCATTTCAAGTGCATGGGCTAGGGGAGCTCTAGGGAGCTATACTACTTACATCGTATACCTACTACTCAAGGGAGTCACGAGGGATATATTATATATGGAGTCGAGACATACACCGACGAATCGGGGGACCTGGCCGAATCGAATGGGATTCGAATCGAGTTTTCACCACGTGTTCTTCACCCAAACCTCTTTGGCATTGAGGTGGGAGGATGTTATTGAACTTGTGGAGGGCTGAACCGCTGAACCCCTTCTACTTGGCACCACGGCTTTCTGCACCGCTTCCTGTCCTGCACCACTTTGGAAAGGAAGAACCAATCGGTGTAGTCGTCGAGCTGAGTGTTGGCCCTGCTTATACGACATGGCACCCAGAACCCCCCCAGACACTGCATTGGAATATTTGCACATGGGTGATCATGGGGTGTTTCGCCAATGGGGCGGCATACTATGCCCCAGGGAATGGGATATATTCAAGGCATACTCTGTATTGCATGCATCTCTTCCATCTGCGGAGTGTCATGGGAACAGCTCACCTCGAGGCTCCACCGCTCCAGCGCAGCGTTGCAGCGGCTCCGGGGTGAAGGAGCAGCCAGGCCTGGAAGGCCCCGGAAGGCCCCGGAAGGTGTTCCGCGCACGACTGGAGGACTGGAGATGGATTGGCCTGAAGAGAGGACTGGGCAGATTGGTAAGCAGTTTTTGTGTTTGTTGGGTCAGTAAGATATCATGCAACATGGGGGAGATCCGAAGTCCCCAATCAGAGTCAGGTCTCCAGCAGTCACGTTCGACGGGGTGCTATCCATGGATGTTTGGGGTGCCCATTATCCACTCACTGGATGGGACGAACCAAACCACCCCGTCGAACGTGACTCCTGGCTGAGTCTCATATTCTGATCCGCACGTGCGCCAAAATGCGCATCCGTGCGCATCTCATCCCTCTCATCGGATGATCTCAAACCACGCCAGGCGAATCTCGGCCCCGTTGCCTTTGCCGGCACCGGATCCTAGGGAGCAGGCGCATGGCAGGGAAAGCAAGGTGCGTGGCAGGGAACTCCCCCAGCCAAAGAAAATGGTCTTCCAGGTGGCTAGGACTTCCACATTCCATGTTTGTTGGAGGAAGAAAGTGGAGAACCCCATTTTGGCAGAGCGTCTTCCAGGACGTCCACTTCCATTGGGTGTTGGACGGGGGAGTACAGCCTGGGTTTATGGGTTAGCGAGCTTTAATTACCAGTAGTCTTAGGCTTTGCACGGAACTTGGCAACTTGCTTGGATAATGCAGGTGCTTCAAGAATCGCTAGCCGTTAGCTGGATGGGTTAGAGTTAGGGTTTTGTGGCTACTGAACGAACAAGTAACTTGACATGCCCAGACACTCCATGTATGAAATAGTTGCATACATTGAGGTGGTCTTTTAGGGGCCAATGTAGGATCATATAGGAACATATTCCAGTGCCATGGAGTGTTTGGAATGTGCATAAGCGCTCATGCTTCTCGGTTGGAGTTTGGAGCTGGCGGGAGCATTTTTGTTCAATCCTTGGATGCTCCATAGCAGGGACCCGGACCCTCACAACTAACCCTTTCCATTGGAGAAGGGCAGGGATGCCGGAATTATTCAGGCCAATCCAGAATCCGCCGTTCGGGGTATTTCAGGGTGCTTCCTGTGTGTTTCCAGGTGAAGTTGTGTTCTTGCTAGTTCACACAACGGACCACGGATCTGCTGTATCAAATCATATAGACTAATGGATGCAGGTGGTTCCTTCATATAGATGTGCTGTATCAAATCATATAGATGTGGGTATAGTCCCTTCAATGACCACCATCAGATGGTTTCATGATGGCCTTTGACTCTTCTGCCACGTCCAGCGGCGTTTTCACCTTTACGAGGCGGCCCTGCGGCTCCAGCGTGCGGCGCGCGGCTGGGTGCGTGCGCGGCGCGGGCGGAGCCAAGTAGCCAAGGAGCGGCAGAAAGCAGAGGCGGCGGCAATGAGCGTCAAAGAGGGGAGATGCTAGGGCCCCTAGGGCAGTCCCTAGGGCCAAAAAGGCTCCAATTGGTACCTCCTCCGAAGGGATTTGGATCCTCCTGGCAGCCACCCCAGTCCCACTGAACCGAAACGCAGGTGTGACACTCAGCGGTCTAGCATCTCCCCCTTGCGCGGACGTGCGATCTCTGCTGTTGGCTGGTCTGTTGGGGGGGGTTGTGCGTGATTTCACCGAAAATGAAGACGACCCCTTATAATGAAGAAAGGAAATGTCGAAAATACAAATCTATTTAGCCCTTTTCAATTTTAAGGAAAGGCATATTGTGCCTACGTTGACCCCTGAAACCATTATGATGATTTATGATGTAGGGAAAAAGCCAGGCCTGCGGAGTGTCTCAGTAGGGATTGATGGAAATTATATATACAAAAAGCTGAGCACAGGTACGCGAGTTGAGACGGGAGACAAATACAGAGCTTGCCCATAGATCTTCTGTGTGACACACACACACACATGAGCTGCCCTTGGACAGGGTGGGTCCTTGGAAGTAGGTGATATCAAGACCCAACCGTTAACTCATGTTCACTCGCCGGAACCTCCAGTCGGGATCGATCCGCTTTTTTGGAGTATATCCAAAGTTGACCACCAGTTGACGGCATAAGAGGTTTGAACCGTCAAGGATCTTCAAGGTGTCTTTCTGTGGCAGGGCATGTTTGGTTCTATTCAGGGGCGACATGTTCTGTTGCTTTCAATGTCTTTTGCAGGAGGTACCCTGATTCTCCAAGTTCTCCACCAAAGCAAGTCTTTGCTTTCAGATATGGTTTTTAGCCCCTGGTATCGTGGTTTACATTTCGGCCTCAATTCCCATGATTGTCCACAGCATTTTGGTGTTGATGTAGCAGGTGCTTTCCAGCACCAAACCTTAGTCTACAGCAGACAAATCATTTATACCAAGAACAGCATAGGCTTCATTGAAAATGGATCCCAGACACACCATGGGACTTGTTCATGGCATATGCTCCATACATTGACCCCTTTTCAACCACCCCAGGCCTGATCGGGATTCATATGCCAGTCCCATGCCATACATTAGTCGTGTTTGGGGATTGAAACCGCACCACTTGTTGGAATGAGTCTTCTGCTGGGCCTCTTAAAGGCTCGCAGAACCGGGGAACCGTTTTTTTTTTCCAAGTAGCCCACTCCGGCCAGTCACTGGACAGAGGGCTGGACCCACCCCCAAGACCCAGGACGCAGGACCATGCATGGATTTGTAGCTTTAGAAGTAGAAGAAGAGGAGGACCTCCCAGGCAGCAACCCCCAGGAAGGAGAAGGAAGACCGGACCAGTCTGCCAAACCGGGGGCCAGAGGGTCCCCCCCTATTGAAAAACACACCCAAACATTCCTGGGAAAAACAAAATAAGTGTGCGAGGACCCACTGTGCCAGGACCCCATCAGTGTGGGGTGGTTCATGGACACCCCGAATCACCTCTAAGGGGTGATCGAACAAACACCGAACCAAGGGGTGTCCTGGGTGTCCTGGTGCGTTACTTACAGGAGGTGCCAACGAACCGAACCGCCCATTTTTTGTTGGCCAACGAACCGATGCCAACGAGACTCCATACAGAACGGACGACCTGCGACCCAGGACTCTCCATCAACTCCTGAGACCCCAAACCACGCCAGGATCTCCATGGATCAACCACGCATGGATCTCCATGGATCAACCGGATGCTCCAAGACTCTGCACTCCATAGGCTTTTCGCCTGCCAGGCTTCCCAGGCTTTGGGGCTCCTCTTGGAGAGCTGGGCGACAAGTCCCACGCGACCCAGCCGCCGCGCCGAGCTGGGCCACGGCCTGCGGTGTTGGAGGTGAAGCCTGGAGAACCGGAGCTGGTGAGAGGTCTTGTTGAACGATGTTGAAGGCAAGTGAAGCAAAGACAGGCTTCGCAAGTCCGCGAAGCGGCCAGTCCCTATATCAAGACTATAGCGCAAGTCCTATCAAGACCTTGCAAGAAATGGGACAAGACCTGAGTCCCCACAGCCTTGAGTTTTCATGGCCATCTCCTTGGCCTTTTCATATCGTCAGAAACAGCGTGAAACGACAGACCCGACCTGCTTTGGAGCGTCCCATCCGGACGAAACGACGACCGACCTGTCGAGCGAAGCAGTCGGGGTACCATTGCTCCTCCCGTTCGAAGCTTCGAAAACCGTTGAAAAGGTGAAGACCAGTGGGTCTTCGATGTCGAAGCTCATGTGGTTTTCACATGGTGCTCCCAACACCAACCAGTTGGGTCTGAAAAAAAAGGGTGGGCAGGAGTGAAACCGGACTACTGAGTTGAATGAAAGGACGAACACAAAAAAAGTCCGTCTGCCTGAGTCAGTAACTGGCAGCATCCATTCTATCACATTTATTCACATTTTATCACCAATGCCACTGATGTTCGACGGGGCTATCTGGGCATGGCAGATGCGGAATGGCCCACTCCCCACAGGCTTGGCAGCCAGACGGTGCACCGTGCCGCGCTGCTGCTCACGCGAACGGCTCGAGGTGCGGTCGTGGCGTCGTTTCCAGGGTTTCGAAGGGAGCCATGGAAGAATCATGGCCAACGACTATAACCCAGACACGCCCTGTTTGGCACTGGCATATGCTCCATACATTGACCCCTAAGCCTAAAACCACCCCAACTGATCGGCATATATGGCAGTCCCATGGAGTGTCTGGGATAATGACTTTAGTTCTACATCATGGGCCACATCGGGTCAATCTCAAATCTGGAGCCAGGATGATGAACGCACTACCCTAGGGTTCCTGTCTCATATCCTCAGGTTCGGTGGTTAGACCCCCAGGCACCCACCCCAACCAGCTGCTCAGGAAGGTTGGAGTCCTAGGGCCACTACATCACTTGGGATGAATCTTCACAGCTTCGCAGTCGAGACGAGTCGCGCCAGGCTGGCTGATGAGGCGCTGCGCGTTGCGTGCCGCCCACTTGGCCAAAGCGCTGCAGCAACTTCGCCGAGGGCGGGAGGATAGGCGCGGCGAAGCATGAGTATTCAGCATGCACCAATTTCATCCCCCCTCCGCCCCGTCAACAGTGCTGGAGGTGGTTTGAGATATCAGATGTTAAATAAAATTGTTCCTGTTCAGAATGAGCAGTCTTTAGATGTTGTTTAACAATATTAATACTTCCCTAGGGCTCCAAGTACCTCCTCAGAAGGTACTTGGAGCACCTTCTTAGAAGGTACTTGGAGCCCTAGGGCTTGTCAATGTTCGTTTCTTTTCGTGCTCTGAGCAGTCTTTGATGGGCCTCTTTCTGCCATGACTGCACTGGGACAGGCTTTTGATGGGCCTCTTTGCCGCCTGGCACCAGAGGCTTCGCAGGCGGCGCTTCTGGTGGAACGAGGCGGCACGGAGGTCGCGTCGGCGTCAAACGTGCCAGTTGGAAGAGTCGTACTGGTCGGGCAGTAGCGCTGGTACTTGCCAGTGGTTCTATGGAGTTGGGTTGCCGAACTAACGGAGGAAGGAGTTGGGTGCCCCGGTCACCACAAAAATATCTAAAAATCACCCAAAACATGTGACTCCTGGCGCAGATAATATTGTATTTGTTGTACTCGTTTCACAGGGAATCTCCAAGAAACGGGCACAGTGCCTAATTTGCCAATTCAGTCAGGCAAGCCTGCTGTTTAGCACAGTACCATTTCAATGGCGCATAGTGCATAACGGCACTGTTGCAAAGTGTTAATGGGCACTCGGCTAATGGCACAGTGCCCTTCAACATTCTTTGTGTAGCCTGACAAATTAATGAGTGCAAGCAAAAAGTTAGGTGGCTTGCTGGCAACGTTTGTGTTGGCTTCTCAGTGTCCACTTTGGCTGCGTGAGATATCACCTTGTTGTTGAAGGGTTAGTGGCCATAAATGACTATGGATTGAGGACCCTGCTATCACTGGTGCTACTACTGATGCTATCTTCGGAGCTGTCCCTGTTTTGGCCGAGCTGGATGCCCATACTGATGCCAATCAGACTCCCAATCAGCAGGCTAGCGCGCCGCTGGCTGCCGGGTCTAGTGCGGTGAAGATGGAGCCGAATAAAGTGTCATACCATCCAGAGCATGGCTTGGGGGTCATGGTCTCTGAGACGACTACCTTTGACGTTGGCCAGGAGCTCTTCCAGATTTGCACTGATTTGGATGCAGATTCTTTCGTCACTGATGCGGGGAGTGAGTCTGTGGATTGCAAGACTGAATACAAGCTCAGTGACTGGGTCATTGCAAGTGGTGAGATGCAAAGAGTGCACCGCCTTTTGAGGGCCCTCGAAGGCTCCCATGTGAGAATCTGGAACCATGAGCTGCACAAAAACGAAACGAGTCAGAAGTTGGAGCTGAAGGTTGACAGGGCCAAGTATGTGAAGATCCGAGCCACGAGCAAACGATGCGTGGGCCGTGCCTCCACCAGGCACGGCTTTTGTATGGAGACTGGGCCTGTGTGATGATGCCCCCCTTGCTTATCCCAGATGGCATGGTGATTTGCATCACCAAGAAGGTCGAGGTGAAGCCTGAGGCGGGATAGGGAACAAAAAGGAAGGAAGAAAGGAAGGGAGGGAGAGAGACTGGGAGGTGGGAAGGAAAGGAAATGAAGGGAAAGGAAAGGAAAGGACAGGAAAGGAAAGGCAAGGCAAGGGAAGGGAAGGAAGGAAGGAAGGAGGAAGGAAGGAAGGAAGGAGGGAAAGAAAGCAACAAGAAAGGAAGGGAAGAAAGAAGACCGGAATGAAGTAAGGAGAGAAGAATCATTGGAAGAATCATCATTATCAGCACGACTACTAACATGACCATCATCAGCATACTCATCGTCATGACTATAGTCGAAGTCGTGATCATCATCATCATCATCATCATCATCATCATCGTTATCATCATAATAGCCAGCATTGCCACCATGGGTTCCACTACGGAACGCGGCCGTGCCCTTGAAAGGGACATGCCTCAGTCAACCCAAGTCTCACCCACTCAGCAAACGCAGCGTCCATAGACCGTGGCTCAATCCTGGGCAAATCATGTCAAGAACAACTGGCATATTTTCAAATCGATAATTTGGAAGGTCCAATGAATGAATGGAAGGGGTAGTCTTTGTCGCAGCTGATACATGAAACATATTTGCTAGCGTTGAAACAAACATCAATGATTAATGATTTGACTTGGGCCAGAACAAACAACAAGTGCAGCTGAAACTCAGCTGTGGATCCACATCACCAGGCAAAAGCTGGTTAAAATGTTCACACAGCTCTAGCCCTGCCATTAGTGTGCTCCTCCACTGATACCGGAAACGGCCTTCGAAAAGGCGTTTTGATTGACACCCAGACACAGCCACTAGCCACTGTGATTTGAGCCAAAAAACACTGCAATAAGACAAAGAATAAACCCAAGCCACCAAAGACAAGGTCCAAATACCAACATACATCCTACCTTTTTTACAGACTCACACACTATAATAGATCAGTGAGCAGCTCAATGTGGCAGAGATTCTTGAAAATGCTGCAGGGCACTGTGCCAGTCAGTACAAATTAAATTGACTTTGATTCAAATACTTACTGAGACCAAACCACTTGTTGAAGTTGGCCAAGCGCCGCACCTCAAACAGCAAACGCAATCCTCTCTGAACAAATACCCACACTTTGAACTCTTCTCTTAGTTGTAGACTTAAATGAAGGTGTTTGCACTCTTGCCACCTGTCAGTCTCTCAGACCTGGACCATATGAGGCTGCTGCACGGCCTCAGCGTGAATTCAACTTTCAATGAACCTTCAGTCACTAGCGCAGTAGGACGCCTCATTCATTGTTGTGCAAAGAGAACAAAACACTTTGCTATTTTTGCACTGCAGGCGCACTGCGCACTGCAGCGCAGGCCAAAGTCACAGCAGTCAAACTCAGGGCAAACAATCAATTCAAGCATTGAGATGACTTCAACAAAGAGTATTTGTTTTTACCTTGTTGATGTTCATCACATCCCAAGTCTGACATACTCATACATTTAAAAATCCCTTGTGAAAAGCCTTGTACTGTGCCCTTACTTCTCAGCCAATGAAGGACCGTTTTGGCACAAAGCCCTTCAGCATTGGAGCCCTTCGACAAAGCCCTTCAGCCTCGACTGAGGAGGAATCAGCACAGAGCCCCTCAGCAGACATCCGTCAGGGTTTCACGAATGTCATGCTCAGCCAAAGAGCAACTTGGTTCTCCCTCCTCGCGAAAGTTGTGGTCTGGCGGCCCCGAATCATAGACATTCCATACCCCAACTCTTGCCAGCAGCAACCCCTCAGGCGTGAAGAGCAACGGGCCCAACCGACACTTGCAATGATACCACCTGTCAGCCTGGTCTGTTTTGTCCTTGGAGTCCTTCTGCAATTGCAAGATGTCATGATATAACAAGTAGTGAAATGCTGCCTGCGAAGCAAACTTCATCACCAGCAAGCCCCAATACCTTGGATTAGAAGCAATGCGACAACGATGGTCAACTGCACACTGATTTCACTGGCCTCTTTGTCTTACACTTTCACATTCGTCAACAAAACATTATGAAATTATCATCTATCATTTTAAATTGAAGCAAGCCGCGAATTGTAGTCGTTGGGTTTCCATCGTTCTTCAAGTCTGGTAGTCGCTTCCGCCGCTGATTCCCGACAGGCCCACTATGCGGGATTGTCATAGAAGTCGGCGGAAGTAGCTTCCCACTTCCAGAAACGGTCCTCAGACCCAGGATGATGTAAATTTGCTGACTTACTCACACGTCACACCTATGCAATTTCATTTCAAAGACACTACATGTTCTTCTTGAAGACTGGCTGATGACATTAACGCCAAGCTTCCAAAAATGGATTGCTGTACTCAGTATCGGTAGTAGCCACATTCTAGATACAGTACGGAATGTATAACTTGTTGGGGTGTGGCCGCTGTGAGGACATAGGAAGCTTCGACTTCAGCATCATGACATTCCCCAGGTCTAGGGCTCTGTGATTCCCATTTACACGCTGCTTCGAAAACTTCCCATTTCCCTTGGCGGCCACTTGGTGGTGCAGCCAGGCACCAATTTCAATAGTGTCATCCGGACACCAGTGGTAATATCTCTCCTTGGTGACATCATCTTGATCATCATCACATTTGCCACCACCTTTGCCTGTTCCCACCCTTACTGCCCTTGCCACCCTTGCCCTTGCCCATGGTCGACTCAGCACCAGAGCGCTTCAGCGCTGGAGGGCGAGACGACATATGACAAGCGCAGTGCCCTCCAGCAGTGGCACAGTGCCCTCCAGCAGTCAATCAAAGGTTCAAACTGCTCTTCTAACTTTTGAGCTGTCATAGCCGCAATAATGAACCTACTTCAAATCAACTGTCAATGCCAACCAATGCAAAGTCCATGTGAATGTTTGAATGATTATCACACTTGCTCACAGCTAACTCAATGCACTTTCAAGCCTTGAGGCCAGGACCTTCTTACTCAAGGACATCGAACAGGTACAATTTCCAATCCTGGCAAGCAATTGTTTGTTTGCTTACAAACACTCCTTCAACAAAATGGAATACAGCTTTTTTGAAACACAAGTGTTTGAGTTTTGTCATCTTGGAATCATTCTGAAAGTAGAGTTGATGGGAACTGAGCTAGTTGCCTATTGAAGTTGCATTGTCTCACATGTCGCAAACACTCAAGGAAAGGAAGCGCATTTGTTTGCCTCCCAAGCCACGTTTTTAAGTCTCCTACAGGAGCGAGACTCAAACATGTGTCACCAGTGCCACCGCTTAAGTTTGCACTGCAACACTTTTTGCAGAATGGAGGCTCCATTCAGTTGCAACAATTGGCACAGTGCCCACCAGCCAAGTGACATCTGGTTGCAAAGACCTCCAGCGAAAATGACACTAGTCCCAGGTGCTTGTGGGCCTGGAAGCAAGAGGTTGAGCAAATACATGTTGAAAGAACAACAATGCCGGAATGAAATAGTCTCGACTGTGCCAGTAATTCCTGTTTGGACAATGCAACAGAAGGCTTCTATCCAGGGCTTCTTTCAAGCTCACTTGCTCCATCCACATCACCAAACATACAATGGCAGCCCCTGACCTATGGACTCCACCATAGCAATGGACCAAAACGTTGTAATTCAATCTGTCAGGATGCCAAGTTCTGTATTAAACCTCATGTTCGTTGACTTGAGTCACCATGCCTTGCCAAATAATGAAAAAGTCAACAATCTTCAGAACCCAGCGGTCCCATTCATAATACCAGTTGATTTTTGTTTCATCCCAACCTCTATAACAAAAGTTGTGAATGTTGAGCTTTGCAAAATGTCGTTGCCAATCATCACGGTCACGAGATACCTGAGAATCTTCAGCATTCATTGTAACCACGAGGCAAATCTCATATGGAATCTCTTCAACTTTCAAAGCCGATGCAATGCTGCCCAAATGCAAGCTGGTCTGTTCAGTGGGGCTTCTATTCACTGAATATACAATTCTGCATCACAGGGCCATTCATGCATTCTCCCTTGCGCATATTCAACAGGTTTGCATTTTTCGCGCACAGTCCTCATGTGAGATTGAATGACGTCTGGCCAGTACAGTATATCTTTCCGGTGGTTCTCCAGAAACTTTCTCACCTCACCTTCAACTAATGTTGAGTGCTGCCAGATAGTGGCGGAGGCCTCAAGTTCGTTCAATACATTTTCTCCTGCTTGCAGCTCAGCAGTGGTGCGATAATCAACTGGCACAGTACCCTCCGGATCAGTGTAGTCATCAGCGGGCACAGTACCCTTCAGCGTACTATTGTCATCCACAGCGTCAATATCGTTGTCCTACTGTTCATCATTCGACTCCTGATTCTCCTGACTCTTGACAAGAGGATCGTCCTGCGGGTCCGGCACTACCAGGTCGGCCCAGCCCACCGGGAGCGTCAATAGTGGACGTAGTCGACGATAGGCGGCCTGGGCATGGTTCACTTCCCAAAGTTTACGTTTCATTTCAGACAAGACCAACGTGAGAAATCTGTTCATGACTGAGTGAGCATCAAACGATTGCAGCAAGTAACCATGACTGACTCAAACTCTTATTTCTTGAATCGTTGAACTGACTTGGTTTTGACTCATTCATTTGAAATCCAACTGAAACAACATTTCATTCATTTGCCAACCTTCAATGAATGCCATCCACAGCATCAGTCAACTCAACGAAACAACATCAGGCACAGTCACAGACTTCAGCAGCAGCAACTGAGGCACAGTGCCCTTCAGAAAAAGCAATTAAGAATGGAAATTGCGATAGTCGGTCAGCTTGCATTTAGTTTTGTGCCTACCATATCAAGTGACTCATGAATCAATGAATGTTTGTCAGTGAAGGTTCCACCACCCAAAGGTTTAGTTGGTTATAAAATTCACAACTTGAAACATGCCCTTCTAAAAACAAATTGAAGTATCAATAGCAGTAATACTCTCAAATGCTCAAAAAACTCATAACAAAAGGAGGATGACAATGAAATGCTGACTTTCAAACGCAGTAAACTAAAGCATTTACTTGTCAGCCTTTTAATGAACATCACGTTCAGAAACAAAAGTGGCAAATGCACTTTTGGCATTCTCAAAGCATTTTATGCACTTTTAAAGCAAAAAAGTGCACAAATAACATTTTATAAGATCTTAAGAATAAAGATGACTCAAATGTGATTCAATGTGATTTTAGTTTTCCTGTAAACAAGGGTGACCTGGAGAAGGGTGCGTATCTGGACCCTCAACTTTGATTTGGGGATGATGATGTTGAATACACAGGAGAAGAAGGAGAAAACGATACCTGACACAAGGCAAGGTCAACGCACTGCGTGTGACACCTTGAAGAGCATGTTCAGCGTACTAGCGCTTGAACCTCTGTTGAACAAGGTCAGTGCACGTCGCTTGACTCTTGAAAGTCGTAAGAGTATCTGCATGTGAACTTTCTACAGTCGAAAAGCTGCAAAGGCTCAATCTACATCGGCGCGAAGATCTACTGAGTGTAATCTGAGCGAGGCAACTTTCACTGTCAGTTTTCACGAATTAACTTGTATAGCCAAGAGGATGAAGTGCACGCTGTATATGTAAAGACCGCTTAGTTTCAACAGTGCTGTGTAGTCAGAGTCTGTTTTGATAGGTCTCGCGGCAAATTATAGCGAAGCACTGTACATAGGGCCACTGCCCTTGAATTTCAAGTGTGACCATTGCTGATAGCGTCGGTCACATGGGGGGGTGTCAATAGCAGTGGGACGACAGCATACCATATGCATGTACAGTATACACTAGCGTGTCACGCCTACATTTGGCTCAAGACTCCCGTAGAGGAAGCGGAAAACAAGTGCGCGCCATCGCTGTCTACGAGGGAGAGGATAGTCTATTTATACTTCACGTTGAGCAGATTAATACCCACACGCATATATATGTATACATATACAGTACATCCAACCTCCAACCCGACCGGAGGCTAAAAGACCGGTTGCGCGCTTCTTTTTGCTTTTGGGTCCGCGGGCTGACCTTGTTTCCAAAGACGGTGTTTTTGTTGTGACCAGCGGAAACGGCAGAAACCAAAAAAAGCGGCGTTTTTTAGGCTTCCAAACGGCATCTTTAGGCGTCCAAACGACGTTTTTCCCCGTCCATGGATTTTGAGCACATGTTTGCAACCCCTAAAACGGCAATGTGTTTAAATTAGTGCCGGTTGAAGATCCAGGTATAAGTTGTTTGACTCATGTGGCTGTGAGTACCTCTTCCACCAAACCATAGCGGTTGACCTCCCCAGTCGTTTGTCCGCTTCATGTTCGGTGGTCTTCCCTACCGGTGCCCCGAAAAATGACCCACCGTGTGACCAGCTGGTGCGCTGGCGCAGCCAGGCGCACGGCCGCCGCCAGAGGGGGTCACAGGCCACCGTTCCACATCGGGCGGCGGCCTGTTGGGGAGTCTTCCCTGAGCTGGGGAAGAGCGCAGTGGCGCAGGCGCGAGGGCGGCGAGCGGGCCTTTGTCGTCGTTTGCTATCGTCGTCACATCAATGGGGTCAAGGAGCGCGTGGAGTGGTTCTTTCGTCTTCCATGGTGGAGGTCGCCAGAATTCGGGTGTTCCTCGTTACGTAGAGCTGGGAAGATGGGACTGTCCTTACCTCACAGGTGGTTTTGGGGCGCCCCATTGCCGGTTCGGATCGGGGCCGGTTGAGAAACTTGCTTCTACCAGGAGTCACAAAGAGGTTATGTTTGGTCACTATGTGAGTGGATGTTCAGGGAACCCCTATCCTCCAAGCATGGCAACCCTTTGGAACTACTGGTATAGAAGTCCAGTGTGACTTTTGGAGGGACCAGCAAAGTATAGAAGAAGTTCCTAGATTCGAGTCACCTATAGTCAGAACATGTTTCTTTTAAATAGTCCTTGGAGTCTTGGACTTATGATTACTGTAGATGGTTTGTCGGACAAAACCCCAGCCCAAGCCTGTCGGACCCCTCTGGTATGGAAAGGTGAGCCTGTTTGTCTTTACGTGTTTCATCAGTTTCGATTGCCCTAAACACATGTTGTGTTCTCTTTGTTGCATGCGCATCCTCTTTTTGTGGTTTGTTTTCTGGAGGTTAGACCGTTTTGAGCATACGGTCTTATTGTGCAGATTGAATGCTGAAGCCGGAACAAACACAAATTGATCAAGACTGCGTGGGAGCTGGTATTCGCAATTGGTTTATCGGACATCTACGTGCACGTGATGCAAGCACTGTACACACAGCGAGATCCTTCATAGAACATGCCCGCCAACTTTGCTGCCTCTTTGAATGAGTGGCCGAGGTCAAGATTCCAGAATTGCACTTTTACTGGAAAGTGGGACATATATTAACACGAGTTCAAGTGTTGAGTCCATGGAGATCAGAGTATCTCAAAAAAAAAGACGATCATACGCATATGACAGGCAGGTCTGCTTTGCTGAGCAGAGGGACATACGAAAGTCTGTGGAGTTCTCTCAGACTCCGAAAACCAATAGGGAGGAGATTGGTCAAATGCTTATCCAACCATCCTACTTCTTTCTGCCGAACTCCGTGAGGTGTCTCGATTGGCACGAGGCTTTGAGGGTGCTTCTTTTGGAACCTGCTGTTCTGCTTACAACTCACAGAACCACAGAACCCAACATTAAGACTCAGCTCATGAAATAGAATTTTGAAAGCAGAATGGATCTCAACGATGCGCATTATATAAACAATCTCTCTTGAAACTGTGTCCCCGAGGGCTGGCGCAGCAGCGTCTAAACCCAAGGACTAGCTTCATCCTGGAGATTGATGTCAACACTAGCGGGGAAATCCTTTGCCATCGCAATCATCCAGCGACCACTGAAGAGCCCTCAGCAAAGCCAAATCTGGCACGAAACTGAGCCGCTGCTGAGAACATGCTGCGCAGACCTGCTACAGTCTTAGGAGATCGTCGAAGCCAGCCTCGTGGACACCGCAAGCTACATTCTTTGCAAGTCGGCATGCAGCTGGTAATAATAGGCCTCGATCCACAACCTTTGTCGGCTGAGGTTTGTGACTTTCAGCAAACCTGTGCCAGGACAACTGTTCATGGGGGGCCGCATGATCTTCGACTGGCGCGTTGCGATTGCGTCAGTGGAAGGCGCTGCGCTTGGCACTGTGAATCAAATGATGGTGCAATTTGCGGCTTTAGCAGTCTTTAGCAGTCTTTCTGACAACCGCGCATTTGGTCGCATCTGGTACCTTTGACACCCTCGCCTCACTAGTCATGCTTCTGATTGGCGTGCACAACCCACGCTTTCTTGCTGCACAAATATTTGTTATAGTAATATCTCTCGCAAAGTACACACAGGTAGATCGCCTGCAGCATACAGGTGGATCGCCTGCAGCATCTGCAGGTCAGTTAAGACATAGAGCAAATTGTACCAAACTCCGACCAAGACAGGATTTCTGCGATTACCTCCATGCCACACCACGAGCAACGGCCTTCTGACGGACGTGTTGCGTTCAGTCGAGGTCGCTTACAACCCAGACATGGCAACCGGATCCTGCTGAAGCTGTCGAGTGCATTGGGCGCCTGTGGTCAGCATTGCGCCAACATATATTTGCCCGATTGGCTTGCAGACAGTCATCAGTCCAGTCTAGCTGAAGGAAAAAGTCATGATCATTTGAAACATGAGTTTGCCAGCAGAGGTTGAAGAACCCTATAGACTATCCTATAGGTACTCCTGTAGGGTCCTAGTTCAGGTCACTTAACCTCTGTAGGTGTGCGGTCCTCATCCCAACTTCCGGGCTCAGCGCCGGGAGAGTGTCCCAACACATGCTTCGGTCCGTGAGCTCGCGTGTGAACATCCCGGATCTAGCTTCCAGCTTCCTCACGCTGACAAGAGTTCCATCATATGTATAGCTCTCCCACTAGGGCCTGCTTTCCATTTTCATGCAGTCCACATTGCAAAACATCCCGGGAGTTTGATAGCTTGCAGACCGTTCCAACTGTGCAAGGAAAGAGTCTTGAAGGCCACCTCTGTTGCAGCTCTCGCCTTGAGGAGTCGCCAGTGTCACGCGGGCGACATTCCTCGAGCGTCGCAGCGTCCCGTTCGGAGCAGCAGAATTCTATGGCTTTCGACACAGCGGTATGGCGCGCGCGAAGCAGTGGCCGGTTCGAGGGCGCACACCCGGACAACCTCGTGGCCTACGGAGACTGAACCGAAGCACCAGGCGTTTGCTTTGGCGGTGCTTGTATGAATTCGACGGCATGCTGGAGCGAGCCATGCTTGGGGCGAGCCTTCATGTCCTGACACCGATCATTGGTCTATTCGTTTGGAACTTGGGGCTTTGTGGATGAAACGATTCACCTAGTTCACTGAAGATGACTCCTAGATTCTATACAGATCTTTTCTGAATAGCAAGCAATGTGACCATCCCATCAAGGAACTTCTGAACCTGGTTCAGGATGACCCCCTCGATCTTCTCTTAAAGACAATCCCAGACCATCCATAGGACGGAATAGTTGCATACATCTCGACCCCAATATAAGTAACTATTCCAGTCCCATCGCTGGTCTGGGAATGTTTTGTTTTTGCCATCCCTCCACTCACAGCTGCGTCAACAGATTGGCAGCAAAACAGTCCATGCCCATTCCACCCCACAGACCCAGTCTCCTCTCAAAAGCGTGCGGCAAATCCTCTCAAAATCTGGACTCCAATGTCAATATTTTGTTTGTTATACATCAATATTTTTTCCGATCCTTTTACCTAAAATAAATGGTTTGATTCCACTACCCACCATCACCAGGCTCACTGGTCGTGGTATTGGAGCCACTTCGTGTTCATGGCCTGGGTGCGTGCCATGGGCGAAGCTGCAGACAGTCGCAGCGCAGCGTGGAAGCTCCGAAAAGCAGTGGGCGCTGGGGAGTGTGCAGAGGAAGAGTCTTCTTGACTCAGCCATGGGACTGGAGCAGTTACCGACATTGGGGTCATAAATGGGTTTAATGATGCTTAAGTTGATGTCAGGATTCCATACATGGATGGTCTGGGGGTCTGGGAATCTTCCGGCCAAGTGTGAGGGCTGTCTCTTGAGACGGATCATGATGGATCATTGACTCTTGAACGTTGATGAAATTCCAACCCCTCATGTAAAGAGCCTCATACAATCCCGAATGGGTGGTTTCTCAATCAAGAGTTTGCAACGTCTACTGACTCTACGTGTAGAAGAACTTATATAGGTATCCCTATCTCTTTGGGGAACTTTGTGGTCTCTAAAGGGAAACCAACAATGGGCATAAAAGACAGTTCAGCTGGCGGTCCAGAAGCACCCCTAAGGTGGTGGTCGGCATGAAATGGTTGGACCAGCTCCTGGGAAGGCCAGGGCTGTGGATGAAAGGGGTGGGAACATCGTGAGTCTTCTTTGGTTGGAGAAGGAAACCCTGGATACATACATCCCAAACAGTTCCCCCCCCGAAGCGGCAGTGTGTCTCACATGCCTGATTCTATTTGAAGCATGTTGTGTTTTTGTGTTTTATAAGGAAACTCAACATGTTTCCACAAGTTTGAGTGGAATGTAGGTGATTCTTCATGCTGTGGTGATTTTGGTATGAGAGAGCCTCTCGAGCCATATGTTGGTCTGACCATCAGTGATTGAACAAATTCGAGGCTTAGAAGGGGACTTGATCAGTGCAAGTGTATATATGGAGCAATATGACGGACGTATTGAAGAACATTCACACAGAAACATGAGCCCATGACAGAGGGTGAAACCTGGCGAATTTGGCAGAATACCATGGATCTTCCTTGCGTTAGGACAAAGCAGGGAGCAAACTTTGGTGTGGCTTTGTACACACATATGTTCCTAAAGGTTGTCACTTGATAAACCTGGAATGGTTGGTGGATCCTGGACTGCCTGGGACTGGTACACATAGGATTAGTCCATTATTCCCAAAACCCAAGAATAGTTGTCTTAGTCACCTTCTTTGGAAACTGGATCTTCTGTCGCAACCTGATTATCTAAATTCTTAGGCACAAATGAGCTGGAGCACACGGAAGTAGAGGCACATATGTTTTTTGTCCGGTCTATGTGTTGACAGAATCACTGGCCATGTTTCGACCGCAAAGTCCCCACCCTCAGCTGTAAACAGTAAGCTCGTCAACACCACAGCTTCTTTTGTATGTTCCGGCATGTTCAATAGAGGGTCATGGCTGCGCAACAGGCAGATCACTCACTCTACATCTTTATAGAGGGCAGACCACTGATACAACAACTGGACCCTCTTGTGTTTCTTGAGGACCAATCCCTGAGCTGCTCATGGTTGGACAGAAATGGAATAATAATCGGAAAACAATTGGACAGGTTAATGAGGTTCATAGACATTATGATCCTTCCATGTTCTTTTCAACAATGCAGCATGTTTCACTTCAACACTTGGATAGCATTGGATCCAACTAAAAAGACCTATCACATGCCCTCCAGCAGGGCTGATCACACTTTGACCGTCGAGGTGAGAAGGAGAAATGGGGAATTCCCTGTGGCATGCTTTTGGTCGGGGTGGGTCACCTGTTTTCGAGAGCTCTTCCAAGTGCGATGTCTCAAGCTCGATCCGTAATTTCTCCCGGCAGGTGTGCTTCGAAGATACCATGTGCTTCTTCTCCCTTTGTGGGATCCTTAGATCCTTTGTGAGACCCACATAGGAGCTTCAGTGTGACTGAGATCTGATGTTCGGTCACTTGTATTGGCCTGGCCATACCTGGCCGCTTAGAGACTCCAAAGAGGTCAGCTTGGAAGCTGGCAGACATACCCCGAGGCCCATGCATGGAAGGTTCAAGGCCCATGCGTGGAGGTTCAGGAAGTGTCTTCTCAGGCCCCCCCCCCCCCAAAAAAAAGCCATAGACTCTCAGCTTTTTTGTCTCAGCTTTTTTCTGTAGTTCGGGCTGCCTGACTGTGGCTGAAAACCATGGGGGTCATCAGGGTGAAGGTGTCGAGCATGTGCAACTGTTGAAGAGGCTTCCTGCACTGGAGATGCGCGAATCTCCAATGGCAGGATGCACAATTTTCTGTATAATATACACGTCGAAGGTAATTACCATCCTGCAGACTCAACCTGGCGATACATATCACTATCGTTACATGATCCTTTCGGTTTGCAAGGTGGTCCAGGATGTTGGTCAACATCCATCAACACATTTTACACCCAAACCAGCGAGGGTGAGTAAGAGGATGCCTTCTGTGATTTTGTAGCTGCTCAAAGAACAGACATCAACAACACGGACTGGGGAGAAATAGGGTATGAACAAGGCATATAGGTATAAGCTTGTGAATCCCTACCACTAATAGGCAGCAATCCAGGTTCTGGTCGGTCTGTGGTTTCTTGGGCTGTTTCTGTTGCTCTTCTTCAGAGCCGGTTGCACCGACGAGACCGTCCGAGGCCCCAACGCCGTGAGCAAGCTGTCCCTGCCCTAGCGAACGAACGTCACCGAAGTCGCAGAAAAGCCGAAGAGGATGGTGTTCCTCATGCGAAGAGATGGGGTGCATATATATATATATATCCGTTTTTTTGGTTTTCGTGGGCGACGATGAGACGGTTCTTGGCCAAGGTTGGGAGTGGGACGTGAGTTCTTCGAGTCTCGTGTGATGGAGGAGTTCTTGGAGTTGATTTGGTTGGGGAGGGATTCCTAGGGCTCCAATTACCTGCTGAGAAGGTGGTTGGGGTGGGTTTGGGGGATCTAACCACCTTCTAAGGATATGGGAATATTAGGTGACAAGCTAGTCGTACATAGAATCGTGCCGGTTGCTAGTCTCATTACTGTACAACTCAACGCAGCTTGGCCTCTCCGCTCAGAACCACCACACCAGCGAGCCTCGTGTGGGATGTAAGCAACAGGGTTTTGGTCTCAGCGAAGACAGGAAGGCCAAGTAGCAAGGAGATACGAAGCGTGCAACTCACAATAGGCTTCGCACACTGAACGCGCTTAGGTGGAATCACCTCTAGTCGCAAAGGCCCACGTCCCACTGCGAGCGTAGTTTTTTTTTTTTTTTTTTTCTGGAACTGTTGATTGACGCTTTCCTCAAAGAAAACCTGTAAAAATATGTGGGTTCTGCAAAGAGGACTAACGATAAGAAACGTGATAGACACCCACTGGTCATTCAAGGGGTCCAATCTCGATGCTTTTCAATCAAAATTGGATCTTGTGGCTTTGAGCGCTTGTTTTGAAGTCGTTGACTGTGTTAGCCACCGTACTTGTTTAGAATTTGGAACTTGCTGGGGGCATCCCTCGGTGGAAATCTTCAATGGTTGTGCTTGACAAAATGGCTGATTAGCACCGGATATGTTTCTGGGTGATGCCACTAAACATCACAAAATCATGCACAGTTAAGCTCTTTTGCATGGAACTATATAAATAGGGACGGTCAAAGAATCCTGGATTCAATGACCCCAAGTTACCAAAGCTGGACACCCACAACCGGCAGCGCACCGTGTGAGCCTTGGAACTCCTTAGGGGGCCGCCGGGCTTGGCGCCCAAGATGAATGGTTGGCTACCGCTGCGGATTGTGGGTGGCCCGGCGCCGAACGAGGCCGGGCGTTCCAGGATGGTCAGGGTGCTCAGTGACCTTAGTGACCACCAAGCACCAACCAGGGAGGATGGTTGTTGGATGGTTAAAACATCAGGAGGGTTTTATAAACCACCACAGTGTGGTGCTGGCAAGAGATCATAAGAATAAAGCAGTCCAGCTCACCGACATCAGGCAAGAGTTTGTACCAGCTGCAACAGGGCTGGCCTCGCAACTGAAAGGTTTGTTTAGACCCCAAACACCTTGCTTAGTAAAAGGGCTCATCCCCTACAGTGAGGTCTCCAGTGCTTGTGGGGCCATTTGACCATACCCAGTTGGCTGCCCAAACATGGGGCATGGAGAAACATGGTGAAAACGGACAAAGGCATGAGGAACTCTGTGCATGGACACTTCAATTCTGTGAGTTCTGGGGCAAGAGAATTCAAGAAGCATCGGTCCCCTAAACCACGCTCCAACCACCACCTCGGACGGTGTTTTTCCATATCCAAACCTTAGCAGGTCATTGGAGCTCAGAAGTTCTTTTTCAACCATGGTGGCCACTGTGGTTGTGAACTATCCAGTTCGTGGAGTGAGAAGCTAATGCGTCGAGTTGGAGTTTTCAGATCTTTGAGTTGGAGTTGTTCAAAGAAGGACCTGAACAGAAAAGGTATTTGCTTTCGGGACTGGTGACTTGTTTTTGCAAAAGATTGTCAAAGGTTCATGGGTCCTCATACAGCTTGGGGCCCGGGCCTGACGCCGCCAGATTCCATGCACATACTGTGTCTTCCTTGCATTCCATGGGAAGCGATCTAGATTGGTTACCCTTACCAAGGTGAAATTTGTATCGACAGCGCATCAAATCAGCACATGAGACAATGTCTTCTTCGCCGTATGGACCCTGGTGTCATTGTCGACTATGAGAAGCAACTGATTTGAGGGGAGCTTATTTGGTCAAGATCTTTTGTGAACGCTA